AAACTGTTAACTCATAAGCTGAGTGACTGTCACGATCCTGGGTCTTTTGACCCAGCGTTTTGGGTTTTAGTTTATTTTGATGTTTATGGTTTAGGTTTAAGTTCACTGCGTTTTCTAAGTTCATTTATTTATTAGTTTCCCCTTGTGTTTTCAACCCCGGTGTTAAGTCTCCCTTGTCCTTTATGTGTTTCATGTCTGCATGTCTGTTGTTGTCAAATTCATGTTGTCATGTCTGCGTTTCATTATGTTTCCTGTTTTATTTTGAAAGAGGTCCTGTGTTCGTTGTGTTCAGTTTTACACTTCCCCTGTGACATTATGTTCATTTGTTTCAGCTGTTCCCCCATGTATTGCCACTTCTCACTTCATGTGTGTATTTAAGCCTGCAATAAAGCAGTGTTTTTGAGTTCACGTTTGTGTTCACAGGCATGTCAGGGGGTTGGGTCTGCGACCCAGAATTTTCAATTGATTTTGATTTCTTATGTTACATTGATATAATGTGAGGCTCTTGTGTCATTATTAGTTAGGGTCCAGGTCAGTTTTAGTTTAGTTAATTTTATCATCCGTGCTCCCTGGACTATATGTCATGTTTCCTGTCCACTCTGTCATGTGTTTCATGTCTGCGTGTTCCATGTTGTCAAGCTTGTGTTATCACATCTGTCTCTCCTGTCTCCTGTTTCATTTTGAAAGGTCTGGTATTTCCATGTTCAGTGTGTTTAGTTTTACTTTTCCCTGTAGCATCATGATCATTTGTGTCAGGTGTGTCTCCCCAGCTGTTTCCACTTCCCTCATTACCCTTCTGTGTATTCAAGTCCTGTCTTCCACTTTTCATCCTCATGCCAGGGGTTCTCTTCATCAAAGAAATGAAAACTTATACCTATTAATAGGTTAATTTATTCCTATTAACAAAATGTCATTCACTTCCTCCTCACCTCAAGCCTCATTTCCTGAACTGATGTCAGAGCTCTAGCACATGCAAATCCCAACAATACCATTTGGTTATAGGCTAACATAATCTTAGCTAAGGCTTGAGTGTCTCACTTTCCTTCTGATAAACAGTTTGATTACATCATCACATCAATTGAAAGTTTATTCACTGATCATCAGAGCACAATGTGAGATTCTCTGTAAAGAAACAGTCACTAACACTGGCGAACAGCAAGTAATAGAGGCTGACAGCAGCAGCGCTTACCAACAGAAAACCTTGACTTGGCTGTCATCGGCCAGACGTGACCTTTACTGACTCATCAACTCATATCAGACTCCTTTCTTAGAGCTTTACAGCTTCTTACTGACTAAATAAAAGTGGGCAGTTCTCACACAGCATTGACAGCTGAGGTAAACGGTGGCGTGACAGCCTTCCACAGATAGGGTGAAAACTCCAGGGCAGATCCCAATTTACTCCAAATAACAGCAGATATACACTGGGCAGCCAATTTGGTAAACAGTCTACATCTAAATTGTTTTCAATCTCTCTTGGTTGACAAAAAAAATTATATGTCATATAGCATAACTGCATAATCCTGGCTAGAATTATGCAGCTGATTTGCTGGGGTACAAACAGATATCAGTTGACTGAAATCTGCAGTCTATAGACGTTTTGCCAATAAACACCTCCCAATTCTTAAAAGTTAAACCTACTGGTGACCGTAACAGGCCATTATAGCTGGAGTGCTAGTAATATACCAGCAGGAGAATGAAAAATGGAAAAATAAAATGTAAAACGTAATAAATGGATCCTGGGACCAAAGGACCAACAGCATGGTTGCCTCACAAGGGACTTGCCTGCTGGCTGGGCCTTTCTATGTGCAGTTCACACAGAAACAATAGCTTGTTTTGTCATTTTATAAAGTTCTTTTTTGCTTTTTTAAATTACATTTTGTATAGCTCAGTGTACATGTGTGTCATAACACATCTCATCATAATCAGTCAAACCTAATAAAAGTTACCACTTGATGCCTTTGGAATGAGCATATTTATTTGTATAGTTATTGTAGCATACTTAATTAAGCTATGTAAAAATTTACCTTCATTCTATCATGCTACCTGGGGACTGCTCCATCATTCTCTCTCTTTCTGGAGCCCACAGCCAATGGCTGTCTGTTTTTGTTAAAGGTATCCAGGCCCGTCATGTTTTGCATTTGGTGTTGACCCTTCAGATTTTCTTCTCTTCTTCGCCGCTAAGTTTTAACACAATTATGATGACCTGGACCAGCTTGACACTTTGATAACATGATGGACACTGGACATGTTGAAATCTACAGGGTGGGCCATTTATATGGATACACCGTAATAACATGGGGATGGTTGGTGATATTAAAGTCCTGTTTGTGGCACATTAGTATATGTGAGGGGGCAAACTCCTCAAGATGGGTGGTGACCATGGTGGCCATTTAGAAGTCAGCCATCTTGGATACAACTTTTGTTTTTCAATAGGAAGAGAGCCATGTGACACATCAAACTTATTGGTAATGTCACAAGAAAAACAACGGTGTGCTTGGTTTCAACGTAACTTTATTCTTTCATGAGTTATTTACAAGTTTCTCTTTGTTCACAGCCATTGACATGTCGAAGAGGTTAACACATGAGGAGCGGATCAAAATTGTGTTGATATCAGATGAACGCAGTAACTGGGTCATTGCAGCAGATTTCAATGCAAGACACCATACGAGACCACCCATCTCCCATGCTCCAACTGCTTGCTAAGTTTCGTGAAACTGGTTCAGTGTTGGATTTGCCAAAATGTGGACGCAAGAAAACTGTCACTAATGAAGAAACATCAGTGGCTGTCCTAGCTTCATTCAGCAAGAGCCCACAGCGTAGCACTTGCCGCATGTCACTGGTGAGTGGCATTAGTCGAACATCCCTTTGGCAGATATTAGCTACTCACAAATGGCACCCTTACAAACTCCAGCTACTGCAGCATCTCAACGAGGATGACCCAGATCAGCGCACAGAATTTGCAGAATGGGCAAAACAAAAATTGGAACCGGACCCTCAGTTCATGCAGAAGATTTTGTTCAGTGATGAGGTAAACTTTTATGTGAATGGTGAAGTTAACAAACAAAACCACCGCTATTGGTCTGACACTAACCCACATTGGATGGATCCCTCCAAGACTGTTGGAACAACAAAAGTGATGGTTTGGTGTGGTATATGGGGTACAACGATAGTGGGTCCATTCTTCATCAATGGAAACCTCAAGGCCACTGTATATTTGAAATTGCTACATGATGATGTGTTTCCCTCTTTATGCACTGAAGCTGGCACGTTCCCCGAGTTTTTCCAGCAAGATGGTGCACCACCACATTATTAGTGCCAGGTCCGAGCATTCCTAGATGAACAGTTTCCTGGAAAGTGGATTGGTCGTCGTGGGCCAGTTGAATGGCCCCCAAGGTCTCCCGATCGGACCCCCTTAGACTTTTATCTTTGGGGTCATCTGAAGGCAATTGTCTATGGTGTGAAGATACGAGATGTGCAGCACCTGAAACTACGGATACTGGATGCCTGGATCCATTTCTCCTGCGGTGTTGCTATCAGTGTTTGAAGAGTGGGAGAAGAGGGTTGCATTGACAATCCAACACAATGGGCAGAACATTGAACACATTTTATAAGTGGTCAGAAACTTGTAAATAACTCATGAAAGAATAAAGTTACGTTGAAACCAAGCACACCATTGTTTTTCTTGTGACATTACCAATAAGTTTGATGTGTCACATGGCCCTCTTCCTATTGAAAAAACAAAAGTTGTATCCAAGATGGCAGACTTCTAAATGGCCACCATGGTCACCACCCATCTTGAGGAGTTTGCCCCCTCACATATACTAATGTGCCACAAACAGGACTTTAATATCACCAACCATTCCCATGTTATTAGAATGTATCCATATAAATGGCCCACCCTGTACAAAGGGTCAAAGTTTAGCTTGCAAACCAAACCTCTGTACACATGTTAACCATGCAGTTCTCACTCATTTAGCAGTAACAATGTTCTATGTCCTCAAATGAAACATTTGGGAAGTGTAGTTTAAAGAAAGTGTTTTGTTTAATCTAAAACATTGTAAAAATATTGTAAATCACTCATATGGCCAACAAGACAGAAAAGGGTGTTCATAATAGAGTGTTCATGATGAGTTTTCATAAATCTTTGTTTCATTTTCTCGTGGACGTCCACCTAAGACTCCCCCTGTTGGCCATTAAAAACAAAGCAGATCTACGGCATTCACTTCGTAGAACTCCAAGTAACGTCCATCTTTTACATGCAGCCTGTCATTAAAATGACATTTTATTACTACAGCATCCTGAGTACATTTTCTCCCTTTTAAAATTCATTTTTCAACAGAACAATATTAACAGTTCCAACACGAGCAATGACAAAGAAAAAAAAACAATTACACAATTGGTGACTCCCTACTTATAAGAGTAACCTTAAGTTTTTTCCTTGTATTTGAATACCACAGTAAACAATCTATATTAATGGGGACTTTTTGATCAGAATCAGATTCGCGTTCACTGGCCATGTATATGCACACACACACATACAAGGAATTTGGTTCCAGTAGATGGTGACTGTCAAGCACAGCAGTGTAAATAAATCTCAACAATGTAAGAGCAACACAATCCCCCCCCCCAAAAAAAAAAAACACACGCGTATGGATATATGCATGTACACATGCATACACAAAGCTGTGTAAACCAACCATAAATAATACATAAAATACAGGATGACAGAAGTGAAACAAAGTGAAATGAATACCACAGAATGCACATAAGGTGCAGTTGCACTCTGGCAGTGGGAGCAGTGTGACAATTCAACTGTTCAGGAGGGAGATGGCGAGGGGAAAGAAACTGTTCCTATGTCGGGTGGTCCTGGTCTGCAGGCTTCTGTACCGTCTGCCAGAGGGCAGTAGGTCAAAAAGTCTGTGTCCAGGGTGTGAGGGGTCTGTGATGATTTTCCCTGCCCGTTTCCTGGTTCTTGAGAGGTATAGGTTCTGGATGGAGGGCTAGGGGGTGCCGATGACCTTTTCTGTCCTGTAATGGTGGGTTTCTTGGGGGACCGGGATGATGGTGGAGTGTTTGAAGGAGGAGGGAATTTCACACAACTCCAGGGATCTTTTGAAGATGCGAGTAAAGATGGGAGCCAGCTGTTCAGCACAGGTTTTGAGGCAGGAGGGTGAAACACCGTCTGGTCCGGGGGCTTTCCTGGACTTCTGTTTCTGAAACAGTCAGCTCACATCCTGAGTGTGTATTCTGAGTTTCAGGGAGAAGGAAAGGGGGGTGAGAGCAGTGATGAAGGTCGTTGAGACAGGATTGGGGAGGGTGATGGTAGTTGTTGAGTCTGGGTTGGGGAGGGTGGTTGTGGTCGTTGAGTCTGGATTGGGGAGGGTGGTGGTGGTCGTTGCATCTGGATTGGGGAGGGTGGTGGTGGTCGTTGATTCTGCATTGGGGAGGGTGGTGGTGGACGTTGATTCTGCATTGGGGAACGTGAGGTGGGAGGGGGGAAGGTGTTGGGGGTCAATGTCTGAAAAAATGTCTCTGGGGAGGGGAGGGTGAGGTGTGGGAGTCTGTCCGTCTCAAACCTGCATTAGAATGTATTCAACTCATTGGCCAGGTCTTTGTTTGCTTCAACAGGGGGTGGGGGACGTCTGTATTTGGTGATTTCCAGCAGGCCCCTCTACACTGACGCAGGGTTGTTGGCTGAGAGCTGTTCTTTCAGCTTCTGGGAGTAGATCCTTTCAGCTGCTTTCACCCCGGTCAGTGTGTTCCTGGCCTGCTTGTACAGGGCCCTGTCACCACTTGTGTAGGCATCCTCCTCGGCCTTACGAAGATGTTGGAGTTGAGGAGAGAACGATGGTTTGTTGAGTATTATGAAGTCACTTTACTACTGTCTACTTAGTTGTAATGCATATATTGACACACATGCTTGCAGTAAATGCTGACAGTGTTGTAAAGAGTGCAGCTGTAGCACACTATACCAGATAAACTATACCATCACATCATTTCAGAAGAACTCAAAGCATCTGCTTCAACATTATATTTGGTCCCAAAACAGCATGCAGTCTTCATGTAGACATAACATGATTAACAAGGTTAAAACCAAAAAAGCCTTCTATTTAAGTTTACTAAACTCGCCAGTAACACCACAGTCAAAAAGAAAAAGTCCGGCATAGAGCGGCTGAGTGAATGTGGCCCGAACTTTGTGGAGGAGAGTCATGGTTTCAGAGACGCTGTAGAAAGACAGAATACCTGCACTGTGATCCAGGTACACTCCTACTCTGGAGGACCGAGGACCTGAGAGGCGAGTTTTGTTTTTGTTGTACAAAAACTGATAACGCTCTGTTTTACAACTTAAAGCCCAGGATTTGTCATTCCATCCAAATCCACTTTCATCTGAGCGCCCTACTCTACTGATATTTTTGTAAGCAACTGCTACATAAATTCCCGCTTTCCCACTCCACTCCACCTCATAGTAACAACGTCCAGTCAAACTCTCTCTACTCAGGACCTGATACCAAAAGGTGAATCTATCTGAATGTTCAGAATGTAATGGTTGTTTTGTTACTGTTACTTTTCTGTTTCCTTCAGACAATAACAGATATCTGTTTGCTGTGTTTGGATCCAGTGTGATGTCACATGAATATTTTAAGAATTCAGGTCTGGTCTTTGGCGCTGGTAGTGACAGTAAAACATCCACTTCAGTGACTGTCAGTGAGATGTTTGTCCATTCCTCTCTCAGAATGTCCTGTAGTTTATCTCTGGTCTCTGACACAGCTGCTGTCACATCCTCAAAGTAGCTCAGAGGACGAATATTGATGCTGGATGAGTGTGTAGACTCACTGAGTGCTGACAGTGAGGGGTAGTTGTGTAGAAACTGGTTGTGATCCTCTGTGTATGCGAACTGCTCCAGCTCGCTGTCTTTCCTCTTTAGCTCAGCGATCTCCTGCTCCAGCTTCTCCTGAAGCTCTTTGACTCGACTCACTTCAGTTTCCTGCTGGGATCTGACCTGCTGCTTCACATCAGAGCTTCTTTTCTGGAGGAGACGGATCAGCTCAGTGAACATCTTCTCACTGTCCTCCACTGCTTTATCAGCAGAGCCATTGATGGCCTCCACCTCCTGTTGAAGCAGCTTCACATCTTTCTCTCGCTCCTGGATTCTCTGCTGGATGTTTAGTCGTCTCACCTCGAGCTCCTTCTGCTTCTCAGTCCTTTCTGCTGCTGCTGGGACTGTTTCATGGCCTTTATGTTCATCCATCGTGCAGAGATAACAGATACTCTGCTGATCAGTACGACAGAAAATCTTCATCACCTCATCATGACGAGAGCAGATGTTCTCCTGGAGCTTCTTGGAGGGGGCCACCAGCTTGTGTTTCTTTAATGGAGCTGCATCATAGTGAGGTTGGAGGTGTTTCTCACAGTAAGAGGCCAGACAGACTAAACAGGACTTGATGGCTTTCAGCTTCCTCCCAGTGCAGACATCACAGGCCACATCTTCAGGTCCAGCATAGCAGTGATCAGCTGGAGCAGCTTGGAGTCCAGTCTTCTTCAGCTGCTCCACTAAATCTGCTAACACAATGTTTTTAACCAGGACAGGCCTCGGTGTGAAAGTCTTCCTGCACTGAGGGCAGCTGTGGGTTCCCTTCCTGTCCTCTTCATCAAAGTGAGATTTAATACAGTTCATGCAGTAGCTGTGTCCACAGGGAATAGCCACCGGATCCTTCAGTAGATCCAAACAGATGGAACAAGTGATGGTTTCTCGATCCACTTGAACTCCTTGCTGTGCCATTTATCCTCTCAGTGACAGTAGGTGTGTGAGCATTTATTTTGTAGATGGTAACCTAGTTTGAGTTCATAGGTGAAGTGTTTCAGTGGTGAATGAAGCTTGTGAAGTTTTGTGTATCACCACGTTGGTTTCAGTCATCTTCAAACTGCAGATCTAAAGGACAGTGAGAGAAAGAGAAACGTGGGTCATTCTATCACTATGTTGTGTTTGCATCTAATATATCAGTGTTGATGGATGCCAAATGAGGAGGTGAGTGTTTTGTGCTGTGACCTTTAGTGTTGTGGAGAATTTGGCTACTTTAGTTGGAACACTTGTGAGTGTTGTTGGCCAGGTGATGGCAATAACAATGTGGGGTGGTGATTCAGCCTTGTTGTGATCATTGTGTGGCCATAGCTCTCCATTTGTGGTTGGTCACTAGCATGCTTGCTTTACTGAACTTTGGAGATTAAAGTAACTTGTTGTGGTATGTGACCACCTGTGTGGTGGAGACAACAGATCACTTGGTTGTGGTTATTATCTTTTGTGTTAGACTGATATTACCTGAAGTGCTTTAATACTGTGCCTTATATTAATCTCATATTAATCAAAATGCCATATAATCATATATTGTAGTACTAAGTGGACACAGCCCAGAACAATAAAGGCATTAGAATACATGTCCTTCAGTTGTAGACTCCCGCCCACGTTTGCCTGCAGAACAGTAGATAACAGGGAACTATCTTCTAGTGGAAACTTGGTGAAATGCTGTTGTTTAGACTAGAATGGGGTGCCCGGTATTAATACTGTCAAGTTTCCGTCACCATTTTGAGATCTGCAGCAACGTGTTATGCAGGACGCATCTCCCTTCTAGAAGTGATTGTGTAAGAGAATAGTGTGAAATGGTCTACTGAGCAGTGTGTGTGTGTTGTCTTCCATTGGATGAGGAATCAGAAGAATGCAGTGAAGTGTTTATATTTAACAGCTGATACTTTTGTTTTGTGTTGTAGCAGGTCAAGTAATCATTTTGGGTTTGACTGTTGTCCTCCTTTGTGTTGGGTCATATTAGTTTTTGTACGTTCAGTGTGGCAACTTCAAATCCTCATGCAGGGGCATCCATGCTTAAAGATGCGAACTATAGTAATGTGAACGCTGAGCTTCTGCTAGCTTTTACTTTTCTTTCAGGTTTGGGGATCAATGACCAGAAAGCTTCAGAGTGGGTTTTAATTTATTTTAGGGGTCCTAGAAGAACCTTTTTGAGGGAGGTGGTGTAACACCCATCTGCAACCCTAATCTCCTCAGTGTGTTCAGCTGGTGCTAACTGGCCCCACCTAGTCAGGTGTTGATAAAAGCATACCTGAGACAGGCTTTCCAGAAGGCTCACTAGTCTTTGCTTTGGTGGCTCAGCAGTTTTAGCCAACCTACTATGCCATTTTAAGATAAAACCTCTTATTACTAAGACTCTGGTATTTGTCTCCTTTTTTTATGTTGCGACTTTTGAGTCATAGCAGCCATACTTGTCTGAAAACCCTTTAGAAAATTGGTCATTAGTTTATTTAAATTGATAATACTACTTTTCCCCAAATCTGGTTGAAAGGGGCATGCCCTGGAGCCGGGAGAAGGGATCATCTGCAAAAACCTGAAGACATGCTTTAAGACTTGAGACTAAAACAAAACAAGCCACATTTGCCAGCCCTATTGTGGACCCAGGAGTAGGGATGGGTACCGGTATCGTTCTGACATAAACGGTAGTAACCAGACCGAAAAGCAGCGCACATTTCTGTGCTTTATTTCGGTGCTTTTTTTCCCTGAGATGTCATACACTTTGGATTCTAGCCAATCATTTTACCTTTGCAAGCGTAGTAGGCGGGCCCAGGTACGTACGTTCTTTTAGAGCAGAGCTACAGATTAAAAATGCCCAAGGGGAAGCGGTTAAAGTCTGGCTGTACTTCACAGCAAAAGATGCAAACTCAGCAGCCTGCAACAAGTGCTTTAAGGTGATACTGTGCAAAGGAGGCAACTCCTCGAATCTGATGAAACACCTGGCAACGTATAGCATTTTGTTAAAAGCCGAGAAATGCGCCATATTTGATAGCTTGCTGCAAAACCTCACACCGAGCACATCTACTGCAGGTGTGATATAAGATTTTTTAGTTTGTGTTATGTTTATTTGTAGCTTCATTTAAAGGAAGAAGAGCTTGTGAATTGGAACCAACACAGGAAGAGAGATTGAAGCCATATGTGTAGAGGAATGCAGTGACATACGACACTTCCTCCTGTTTTAACAGACAAGCTGTCGCTCTCCCTCTCTCTCTCTCTCTCCTTTTATGGGAATGTCTGAATTTCTATACATACCAAGTTATCTCCCGTTTCAGCTGACAAGCGAACAGTCTCTCCTTTTATGGAAATGTTTTATATTCTGAACATGCCACTCCTACTTCCTTGAAAACTTGCTTAAAGTATAAATAAAGAAAGCTCTGAAAGCCCTGGGCAGTCTTTCCTCTGTGTCACATCTGTCCTGCACACATTGCTGCAGGATGGATCAGGCGATGAGGGGGGGGGGGGGGGGGGGGGGGGGGATCGTCCATGTGTGCATGAAAAAGATATCCTGAGTTTGACTTTCTTTGCCTTCTAATAATTTTCTCTTCACATTTTCTGTTACCTGTTATCGGACCCAGAGTTTGCAACATCCCCCAAAAACCCGAAGAGGAGAGTCCTGGCCCCTAGCCCTGCCAGTGTAGCAGAAGTGATGACGGATGATGATGGCAGCAGCAGCCGTTCTTTTCTGGGCGAGTAGCTTAATGTTGTCCGTGTGTAATTTACGTTGAGTAGGCTAACCACATTATTACATTAATGCATGCAAGGTGAACTAGCAAACACCGGCGTAGTTACATGAGGCTGTCTTCTTGTTTGATGGCAGATGCTCCCTTGTTACATAACATTGTTATCTTTTTACAATGTTTTTTATCTTTTTACAAAAAAAAAACAAAACAAAAAAAAAACAAACAAAAACAGCAGGCTAACATTGTTATCTTTTTACAAAAAAAACCAGCTGAACATGAGAGGTTTTTGGACAAAGTCTGTGTTCTCCATTCTTTAAGCACCGGTTCGAGCACAGTTTAAGCACCGGCACCATTTCAAATGTACCGGTTTGGTACTGGTATCGGATAAAACCTAAACGATACCCATCCCTACCTCGGAGGTGCTGTAGAAGTGTGGTGCAATGTGGATCAGATAGCATTTAGAGGTGAATGCCCTGGTGGGTCCATTCTTGGTATCAAGTAAGTTTGAAGCCTGCAAATAGAGGAGGGGGTTGCTTCCCTGCTTCTCTGTGTGTCAGGAAATAGATCTTGACTTGTTTGTGTATTTGTGCAGAAAGACAATTCAGAGTTCATCACCCTCTGGAAGTCAATGGGTGGGGTGCTGGAAAGTGTCTGTGGTGAGGCATGGTCAGTGGTGCCGTGCGGACGCACCTGCATGGCATCCGCAATCACACCAGTCTGTTAAAACACGGGGAGTCAGGGGTTGGTAAAGGATTGTGGTGTGATGTATGTGCGGCTGCCAGCAGAGAGCTGGTCCTGCTGTGCCTTATTCACGCCATAGTATCCCATCTGAGGACTTCAGTGTTCTGCTTGGGGACCACAACACTCCCATGGGCAATGATGGTAAAACCTGGGGGCAATAGCTAGAAGAACCAGAATGCCCAGTGTGGAATTAAGTAGGGCTGCACGATTTTGCATAAAATGAGAATCACGATTTTTTTGGCTTAGAATTGAGATCACGATTCCCTCACGATTTTCTTTTCCAGTATAAATATTTATTGCACTTATTAACTGCACATCAACTTCGTAACAGTTGAGACTGAACATAAAAACAATAAATAAACATAAAAACAACAAATGTCTCACGTTTTGTTGTTGCCGCAAAATGTTGTACTGCTTGAAATTCCGTCTCCACCGTTGCTCGACACTGCGTGTATAGAGCAGGTAGTGCAACAATAGAAAAATAGTTGCGGGACGGCACTGTGTAGCGTTTGTCTAGGGTGTTGATCATTTTCCTAAATCCCTCGTTTTGCACAGTGTTGATGGGAGCCATATCTTTGGTCAGGTGATAAGTGATAGCCTCCGTAATTTCTTTGTGCCTGCGGGAGTTCGACGGGTGTAGGGAAGCGCTGTATAAGGTTCCCGTTATTGATGTTTGGGTGGTTGACCAGGACGGATTTTCTCCTGTCACTTTCTCGTCATCCCTGACGTGCTCTCCGTTGTTTTTTCCCTGCTAATTTTAGCATCACACGGCACAGCTTCTGTATCACGTGGTATAAGGCTCCGCCCTTGTCATTTGTTGAGCAGGAAGAGTGAGCGCTTGTTTTCATGCAGAGTACATCCCGGATCAAAATGTGGTACAATCGTCGTTGTCTTTTTTTCTTCTTTCTTTTTTAAATCGTTGTCATTTGGAAATGAGATCGCACATAAGTATGAATCGAGATCGCGATTTTCTAACAATTAATCGTGCTGCCCTAGAATTAAGTGCTGTTCTGTTCTTGGACTTCTACGCCTTATAGATCTCTGGGTAAAAGATAAACGAATCTCAGCGCAGGTGTTAAGTGTCTGTTGTGGCAGTTTTCTCCAAACCAAGTAATGGAGAAGTGCTGAAGGGAGTCATCAAGTTGAATGAGTCCCACAAGCTTAGTTAGCTTGTGGGACTCCAGAGGCAGCTAAGAAAGACTTGCAGGACAAGTGGAGAGTGGCCCTGGCAGTAGCTGAAGCAAAAACCTAGGTGTGGAAAGAATTTGGCAAGGTCGTGAAACAAAGTCTTTTGGTGAGCCTCAAAGTGATTTTGGCTTTGATTATGGTTAGTATACTCAGGAAACCTCTCCCATCCCAACAATGGACTCTTCTCACTGTTGAGGTCTGGGAAGCGCTTCCGCTCCCTTAAGGCCAAAACAGAGAGAATGAAGAGGAGCTTCTTCCCCCAAGCTATTCGGGGCCTGAACCAGGTGTAGGACTGGACTCTCCCACACACGTCACTATAAGACTGGACTCTCACACACGTCACCACACGCACCACCACACATTTCCTATAATCCTATAATTCCTATAATTTATAATCCTTATCTTTATAATCTCTTCTGCTATTTGCACATTCTTTACTGTAAATTCCTAAGTTAATTTGTAAAT